ATTTTTCCTGTGGCAGAGGGTAGAAAATTTACTTGTCTGTAATTTTTGACTAGTGAGAACCAGTACAAAAGCTCATATCCATTAATTGTCCGTTTGTTCATTAAGTAGAGAAGTAATAATAATATAGTTTAGGGAAGAATGAATGTAAGAAGAAACGATGAGATGATAGTAAAACAATTGTATAATCTTTTCATTCTTGTATCCTTTCATTAATGATTACTTTTCTTCTCTAAAATAATTGGTTTTACATGTGTTTTTCAAAGAAATGTATCGAGTCAGATACTTTTATGTTGATCCGTACAATCTCTCGTACGATTTTCTTTCAAACATGAGATGAGTAATTAATTATTCAAATAACTTTCTGGTCGGGGTATCCTGATATTGTATATATTCTTAGTTGGACGAATGAATTCAATGGTGAATAAGTATGGTCTTCATAGCGTTAATATCTGAATGTACTTATTAGAGAATTACTTGTAGCAAACAAATCCCCAAAGTCTTTTTATCTATATTTTTTAAGTTTGTTCCGTTAATCTATGTGAATTTGTTTTAAGGTCGGACCCATTTGAATTTGAATGTGAGCCAGAGGGAAGTGGGAACCCATTTGAATTTGAATGTGAGCCTGAGGGAACAATTAGAGTTGTTATGAGGTAAAATATATCCTAGTAGTTGGTAAATTCACACAGCCGGTGCTGGCTTGGAATTCAAATTTCTTTGTTGATTTTCTGATCCAGGGAACTACACAAACCCAATTTGTGCTGACAAGATCATGAAATGAAATTTCCACATTCTTGCCAAAAAAAAAAAGAAAAAAAAGTGGGCAATAAGGTAAGTCAAAGAACCAGTTTTTACACAAATTTTACAAAAGCTAGAAGAAGCAACCAAGAGGGAGGAGAGACGTCCCATAATTATTTTTTGAGTAATATTATACTACAAAGTGACGCGATGTGACAATATTCTTGCATTATCGTATTATTCACTATCATTTAATATATATTTATTTATTTGATTTTTAATATTAATTCATCTAATTATATTTTGATATGTCACTTTACATGAAAGATTTTGTATAGAATTTTTATAAGTGTAGTATTATTGTTATTGACTTATACAAGACACTAAATAGGAAAATAAACACCTCCAACTCTACAAAACCCCTATGTTCCCAACAATTGTTTAGTTTAGCCGTCATTCGTCGGCTGAGAGGTTTATGTTCATTGCATTTTTTTGGAGCTGCCGTGGTTGTTGATGTGAAGAGTCAAACGGTGGTGGTGATCGGGGTTGTCACCGCTTAAAACAGCCGGAAATTGGCAAAAAAAAAACAGTCGCACGATGCAGCTGCCCGACTATCAGAGTGATGAGGGGTACCAACTACCAACTTGAATTTGTTGGGTGGGAATATGTCGTTTACGCTTTTTTTTTTTTTAAGTTTCTTCCCTCAATCTGTTTGAAATTGTTTTAAGGTCGGACCCATTTGAATTTGAATGTGAACCCGAGGGAAAAATTAGAGTTGTTATGAGGTAAATTATATCCTATTAGTTTAGGATTCCTGATAGGATAGTTGGTAAATTCACACGCCCGGTGCTTGCTTGGAATTCAAATTTCTTTGTTGATTTTCTGATCCTGGAACTGCACAAGCCCAATTTGTGATGACGAGGTCATGAAAGGAAATTTCCACATTCTTGCCAACAAAAAAATAAAAAGATCAAAAAAGAGTGGGCAATAAGGTAAGTAAGAACTACTTTTTACAAATCTTACAAAAGCTAGAAGAAGCAATCAAGAGAGAGGAGAGACGTCCGATAATTATTTTTTGAATAATATTATACTTATAAAGATGTATACAAAGTGACATGACCATATTCTTGCATTATCATTTAATATATATTTATTTACTTGATTTTTTATATTAGTTCATCCAATTATATTTTGACACGTTATTTTGTATGAAAAACTTTATATAAGTGTAGTATTATTGTTATTGACTTATACAATACACTAAATAGGAAAATAAACATCTGTGCATCAAATCAAGATAAATGTAGTCAATACATATTAAAAGATTATACCTACAAACATATATATATGTATTCTCTTTATGGGGAGACCAGTTTCTTTATAGAAGATATTTAGATACAAAGCCCCAATCTCAAATGTACATACAAAAGAAAAGAAGAAACAAATGTAGAGGAGGAATGGCAGAGAAAGGGCTAAAAATTAAACCAGAATTGAAAGAAATAAAAAAGAATCTTCGGTTATACCAGACATTAGAGCTGGCCATTGCACCTGCTATCCGGAGTAACGCAAAATTTGATAAGCAGGCACCGTAACAGCTACAGCCGCAAACTGTATACTGCTGAACTTCAATGCAACAACCTCCGCAAGTATAAACCTGGTCTGTGGAGACATCCTGGACTAGTGTCACAGGTAACAGATTGACAGCAATTGCTATCATGGACTTCTGAGGACTGAAATCTGTTTGATGCTCTCGGCTATCCAACTATTTCACTGTTCCCTTCTGGTTCTGGGGGTGGAAGAGCTCGGGCGGGAGCTCTGGACTGGTGGCTGGGTTTCGGGATCATACTTTTGACAAGCAAGATAGGAAAGGGCAGTGACTACATCAGCAATGAGTGGTCGCATATTAGGCTGTTCCTGAACACACATTGCAGCAACAGCAAGAGCTTGATATAAACCTCTCACTGGATATTGGCCTTGGAGCATTGGGTCAGCCATCTGAGAGAATTTCCTTCTATCTTTGAACAAGGGCCGCGCCTGCAACATCAAAACAGCATTAAAAAAAGATTAAGAAAATGAACTATCCCTTTGATGAATTCAAAATTCTGTTAACTAGTCGCTAATGTTCTTCATTTAAAGGTCATTTGGCTGTTTTAGGTAACGTCATCGCTGAAGAACAGCCAAAATATCAATGTTAGCAATTGGTCATATTCTGATGGATGTCAACATTTAATTAAGAATATGGCAATTCTCACTCCATGGTCTCTTCACTATCATTTATACTACGGGCAGAAACCCATAAGAAATGATTTTAAAAACAAAAGTTTCAATCAGAGGAAAGATAGAACTCTTACCCATGCAACCAGATTGTGTTCCCCAGCAGCTCTTGAATTGTCGATGGCTTTTCTGCCAGTAATGATCTCAAGAAGAACAACTCCGAAACTATAAACATCTGATTTCAGGGTAAGCTGACCAGTCATGGCATATTCAGGGGCACAATATCCATAGGTTCCCATCACTCTGGTGGAAACATGGGTCTTATCACCAACAGGGCCCAATTTAGCTAAGCCAAAATCAGATAGCTTCGGATGATAGCCATCACCAAGTAAAATGTTTGAGCATTTCAAATCACGGTATATGACAGGGGGGCTAGCTTTGTCGTGCAAATACTCCAAGCCCTTTGCAGCACCTGCAGCTATTTTCATTCTTGTATTCCAGTCCAATTGTTTCTTATCTGGCGGCAGATCTGAAACAAACAAGCATGCAACAAGAGAAGTTGCTGAAAAAACTAAACGGAATGATACTAAACAAAATGATAAAATAAGAAACAGAATCTAGAACCTGTGCCTCAGACAACAGACATGGGTTTTTTAGGCACCATAAGTTAACAAGTGATATGAGTAGCAGTGGTATCGGCAATTTATACCACCAATGACTTTTCCCTATGCATGAAAAGTATATATCATAATTCATGGTTGACTAAAATTGGATCCTCCACGTAAAAATATTTATCAAACTTCATTAAGAACAAAAAATATTTTTTACATTTGAGATTTCTAGTGCCCAAACGTTTACAATGAAAAACTAATTTATGAGACATAAGACACTTTAAAGACCAAAATGCTAGTAGTTCAGATATTTGGACATGAATATCGGCCCATAATCTGATACATACCGTGTAGATGGTCTTCCAATGATCCCAATGGCATGTATTCATAGACCAAAAGTCTCTGATCACCATCAGCACAATAACCAATTAAGTTCACGAGATTAGGATGGTGAAGCAAGCTCAACATCAAAACTTCGACGAGGAATTCCCTATTTCCTTGTAGCCCATTACGATCCAGCTGCTTGATAGCTACAACCTGAGCCAGACCAAGCAATAAAATTCATGTCTTACCACAAGCAAATTTGTATGGTTTAAAACATTTGAAAGATACTGATTGCAAGAATAACAAATATAAATTGAGAATGGCACAAGGGAAATTGTCCAAGCTTATAAACAAAGTCAAGCACATTTGAACAAGTATCCTTCTATTCCAGCCTTAAGTGAATAATTTTTAATGGAATTCTTCATAAATCTTCCCCTTCCATAATTTGTCTGCCTATAAGACATTGCACAATGTTTTGTGGATAATTTGTACATAGCTAAATAGGAAAAGAGATTGAAAATTGAGTACTAACTTGGAAATGCTTCATGATTTTGCTAACCCTTTTCATTTCCAAATTGCAATTACTATGCTTTAAAAATAGAGCTGCTTTTGGAAATTCAGGTAAAGATAGTGTGTTGAGCAGATTGATCTTTGAGCATCATGAAACAAATTATCACCCAATATACCCTTGGTAGAGCTGGAAAAAATTAGATCAATAATGGAGGTGACATGGGAGATCATGGTGTTGATATTTGGTTATCAACAACACAGTGGTATAGTGGAGTATAGACAGAAGTGGCAGTATTGGTGATCCCTAAGAAGAGGTGATGAAAGGGCATGGTAGTTAAAAGAAATAAGAAAACAAAAAAGACAAAAACTGGTAATGAAAAATGCAGAGGCACAATTCATGGATAGACACAAGTGCTGCAGAGGAGATGAGACTGCAATTACCTAAGGCTTGTTGTAAAATAATTTAGAAAACAAGGAAAAAAATAGAAAACCTGAGACGTGTTATAAACACCGTCCTTAAGGATTATTTCGCCACAACAAATATTTCAAGAATGTGAAAATCCCCCAGGATTTAACAGGTTCTTCTGAAATAAATTCCAGGTATACAGGACAGTAAGAAATTTTAATTAACCCAGAGATGAAGTACGGAGGGGAAGACTGATAACTGATCTAATTGTGAGAGCAAATAACTCTTTTTATTATAACGTTACAAAAACGTTGTGATTGAGTAAAGATAGGAGAAAGATAAGGCTACATTATAATAACATTGTGATTGAGGAAAGATAAGGCTTATGATCTTCATGAAGAAGTCAAGGATAATGCTAACTCCAACAGTAAGTAAAACTCCTTGCTAAAGTTTAGGAATAATTGGTCAAATGGAATAAAAAATAATAACAGTCCTCAAAATTCTTTTTGAAATACCAATAATAATTCAACAAGGTTTATGATCTTCATGAAAGATAAGGCTTATGATCTTCATGAAGAAGTCAAGGATAATGCTAACTCCAACAGTTAGTAAAACTCCTTGCTAAAGTTTAGGAATAATTGGTCAAATAGAATAAAAATAATAACAGTCCTCAAAATTCTTTTTGAAATACCAATAATAATTCAACAAGGCTTATATAACATAAAAAAGAGGATAAAGTTTTCTGCCAATGGCTGGTTTGAGATATAATATAACAGCTGCCGCTAGGATCGCAATACCAGTTGATATAGGAGTGACCATTATAAATATGGGTGAGGATATGGGATACGTAAGATACAGGAATGTTAATATGAAAATTCTTGGAAATAAATTAACAAACCTGATTGGTACTCTCCAATCGCCCTTTATATACTCGGCCAAAACCTCCTTCACCCACTAGGCAATCTGCCCTAAAATTCTTTGTTGCAGCTGCCAACTCACGAAATGTAAATGTATGTGCCGCAATATGATCAGATCCTCCATCCTTAGAGCCTTCCTTCTTTACATCCAATGTTGAATTTACCTTCAGTTTATCTGAAGTCACAAGAAAACCAAGAATGAAATAAAACTGCTAAACCAATTTGCGAAACATGATACACAATACTATCATGACTGCAAAAGCCACATGTGGATCTTCATTCAAAAACATTACAATAGGAAATAGCCAAGACAATTGCAGATAAAACGTTTTTGATCACACAATACAAAAAGAAAAAGAAAAAAAAACCTCATATTCATAATTAATAATGTTTACTGCTTCCAGCAACACCGCTTATTACAGGACGCTGATGAAACACGAATGCTTTCTGACTGGGTGGAATCCCTGGCATATTTTTGCAGGCAAACTATCTTTCCCTAACTCACACTTCACTAAGAATAAAAAATAATTAAAATCAATGTGCAACAAACATTAAGTTGACCCAAGTAGAACTAGCTTTATAACTTGCACAATATGCAAGTGTCCAAAGAAATGAAACTGAAAGCACCTAAAAGGGTTAAATCGCATATGGAATCAAGCATTCCATGCTCCTTTACAAAAAAAATAACATAAATAAGCACAATTCAAACTTCATAAACAGGTATGTCCAAAGAATTGAAATTTTGAACAATTGAAATCCAAATGCCAACTCAAAAGACACCAATCATTAACAAGTATCAATAGAAACCAATCTTAAATTAATATATAAAGAAATAAAATTCCTGCAAGCCCGAGATAAAAAATTATCTTTTCACTACACTCTAGATTAGAAGCAGACCCACGGAGCTTAAATAAAGTAATAAACAAGCATCAACAAAGAACATTATCCTCAAATCATAACCACAACATTCAAAGCAGATCAAAACATGGAAGCAAACCCAGAAAAGACTGATCAAAACAGTCAAGCAAATGAACTTAATTTCCTTATCAATCCAAACCATGCGCAAAAACAGACCTCAAAAAGCATAAAACAAAAATTCAAAAGTAATCAAAATTAGTTAAGAGAGTTGTTGACATATACATAAATAAATGTACCTGAAGTTGACGGGATCTGATCGTCAGGCTTTCTATTTAGCTTCTTCTTTGCATTCTTATTTGATTTTCCACCGCAAGGAAACCAACCCATCACTTAAAATTCAGTCCTTAACCTCAAAAGTTTCACTCCAGAGAGAGAACAAAAGCAAAGCAAACACCACTCACGACACAGAGACAGCACAGAGAGAGATAGAGTTAAAATTCAGACACAGTGCTATGCTATTAAGTATATATCTTTTCATTCTGTTGTCTTTTTGCACTTGTGCCCTTGTGTCTTCTTAAATTGTAAAATTACCTCAAAACTTTTTATATTCTTCCACATACTAAACACCTGCAAGTTTTTATACATAGGGAATGAAAAATAGGGTTCGGGTTTTATTAAACTTAAACAAAACCAATTTAAATTGGGCTGGTTCAATTCAAGTTAATTGATTTAATTTTATATAAGATTACTTTTTTTAAGCATTTAAGCATTTTACTTTTAAATTTGATTAATTTTTCTAATCGAAATTTATTGAATTTCGATTATAAATCCTAATGATATAGGTTATTCACTTCAATGATTTTATAATCAGTACATATAATAGGTTTATTCATGATAAATTTATTTAAAATATTATATAATCAATATAACTCAGTTTAGATTTTCTTGGGTTGAAAAATAAACTCAAAAGTAATTGTTTATATTTTTATTTAGTTCGATTCGATTTTGTATTTTAATATTCTTAAAACTCAAACCGCCACTTGGCCTGGTTCGGGTTTTTGGGTCAGGTATTTTTGCACACCCTTAACTTAATGATGTAGGCTGTTTAAAAAATTCTGTAGGGTTAGAAAAGATAGTATTTCATGTAAATTATATAAAATTTTGTAAACTCACTTCTTTTGGGGTATAATAGAAAATATTTAAAAGTACAATACTAAAAACACAAATTCATTTTTTTCTGCCGAAATTCCTTTATTACAAACCAAGCATCACCACTAGGGCACTGTTCATACTGAAAAGACAATATTAACCTCACATCAAACCGAATGTTCATCTGAAACTGGATGTCTTTTGTCAACTCATATTAACCACCGAGAACCTCCAGCAAGATGCCCAAAATAAACCCGTTTATTTAAAAACTAAAAATAGAGACGTTTTATTCATTTAAAACCAATAAAATTTAGGAAATCTCAATTATATCAATATTCACCTGATCAGTCTAATTATGCCTTTAAATTAATGTTTAAATATAGTAAAATGAAATTGTTTTTATTGTAAAATTATAATTAGATTATTAAAAATTAATAGCTTTATTCTAAAAAATAAAAAATAAAATATAAAAAATTCCTGTTTTGGCTGCGCCTTTTAGTGGTAAAATCGAGGTTTTGAAAGAGCTATTTCTATGGAAGTGTGTTTTAAGGGCTATTATTTAAAGAGTAAACGACGTTTTCCCACCCAAGGTTTGGCGAATATCAGTTTCCACCCCTACTTTCATAAATTGCATTCCCACCCCTAAATTAACACCGTTACTTTTCTCTCAAAATAATCCTACATCTCAAATTTCTCTCAAATAATCCCTAGAGATCTTGGCCAAGCCAAAAATCCAGCCTAATTCCGGCACCATTAGACCTCCCCGACACCACTATCAACATCCCCTTATCCTCTTCACCAAAATCCCTAACTTTTCCACCCGATCTGGAATTTGGTTGGAAAGGTGCGATGAAATGCAAAAACCTAAGGGAGAGGCGGAGGCAATTGGCGGCCAATTACGATCGGATATATTACGGGTTTGGTGGGGGGAAGCTGGTGATGTTATTGATGGTGTTGGGGGTGGTTTACAGCGTCGAAACTTGCCAGAATTTGGATGAAACGCCAACTGAAACTAAGAGTGGCGGCAGGCAATTGTGGGGGTTCAATCAGACAGAGAGGTTAGGTGTTTTGATGTGGGGGTTGAGAGGATTGTAATTGTGGTGTCGAGAGGGGTCAACTACGTCGGAAATAGGCTGGAATGGCCTGAAATCGCCGGTGGGGTGAATTTGAGAAGTGACGGGTTATTTTAAAATTTTTTGATCGGGTGAATTTGAGAAGTGAAGGGTTATCTTGAAATTTTTATTTTTAAAATGACCATTTTACAATTTTAACTGTTAGATTAAACAATTTTCTGTTAATTTAAGGGTAAGAATCTGCAATTTATGAAATCAGGGGTGGAAACTTATAGATTTGCCAAACCTTGAGTGGGAAAATGCCGTTTACTCTTATTTAAATTATATTTGGGTTCATAAAAGTTTGTAAAAATAGAAAAAAGCCGTAATTTAGGCTCCGTTTGGTTCACAATTTTGTGTTTTTGGGAAAAGTTTTTTGAAAAAAGTTAAAAAAAAGTTGAATTTGGCGGGTATTACGATGTAGGATTTACAAATTAATAAAATACCCCCTATGTTTGTTTTTTTACAAAACACCCCTTATAATAAAACATTAAAAGTTAACAAAAACACCCCCAATCCACCCTCAAATACGGATAGCCAGCCACTACCGCCGGAGGGTGGCCGGAGTCGCCGTAACAAAAACATTAAAAATATTTAGGGGTATTTAATTGAATTAACAAATTTAGGCGGTTTAAAAAATGTTGAATAAAGTTGAATAATATTGTGAGTTTTTTGATATTTTACTGTTTAACTTTTTTAGGAATACTAAAAGTAGTATTCCCAAAATCCAACCAAACGAAGCCTTATCGTCTCATAGGCATTTCTTTTAAGGAGAGATGTAGGCCGCACCAATGAACGGTGCACCTTATATAATATGGGCCACTAAACCTACTCCATTTTCTAGAAGAATGGTTAGAAAAATTATTCAAAAAATATTATATTTAAATAGACTCTTTTTTTTTTTTTTAATAAAAAGAGGTGTTCGGGTCAACTTACGTATAAGTTCAACTAATTTTTTGGGATCTTGAAACTACTGATCAAGTAAGAGCTTCAGTATGACTCCTATTAAGGGTCGAGATGAATCGAACTCAAAACCTCTTAAGTAATATATCCAAAAGTCTTAGTTGATCACTCAGCTACCCGTATGGTAGTTAATAGACTCTAATTCTTTACCACTACTCTTTGTAATTTTGATGACCAGGGATGTCCGGACAAACTTATGCACACCTCAACTAATCTCCAAGACTCTAAAATTATCGATTAGATAATGACTCTGGTGGCTATCTCTATTAACATCTAAGGAATAACTTGAATTTAGGACCTCTTGAGTAATACATTCAGAGTTTCTATCAAATCGCTTGGTCACTCAAAGGTAGTTAATAATGAGAAATTAACTCTATTATATATTGGAACATTATATAATAAGAGTGATGAATGTTTAATATAAAGGGCATTTTCGTCATTATATTCCAATATACCTATGGTTGGGTTCGTTAAAGTTTTCTAACGTGTTATTTTTTAAAAAGCCCCTTCAAAATGACTACTTATAATATATCCCCTTATTATATCAACTAATAGTGCGAAACCCCAATTCAAAACCCAAACCCTAAACCCACACCAGTGCCATTAAAATTCAAATTTTGTCTAAAATGAACAATCCAGCGTTGAATCTGCTGGACAAAGCTTTAGGTTTAGAGCAACAGAGTGAAGCATGGCCACTGAGTCGGCGAGTCTTGGTGATCCAGGACTGCGTCGAGACAAGCGGCTCGTTCGTGCTTCACCAACTCATGAAACGCGCTCTCTCTTCAAATTCATCGAATGTTATCATCTTCGTCGCCTTCTCCAATTCCTTCTCTCATTACGATCGCATTCTCCGTAAACTCGTAAGTATTGGGGCGTGCTTGGCTCTGTGTGTTTGAGTTTTAATTGGATAAAAAAATGCGTTTTAATGTTATTAATGTTTTGTTATGTTGTTGTATTAGGGGTGCAATTTAGTCACACAGAGGGATAATAAGCGCTTCTTTTTCTTTGATATGCTTATGCTTCAGTGTACAGGTGAGAAAATTCAGGTAAAATTTGTTTCTCCTGAAATTATTTTAAATGGATTGACAAATTGTTTGGGATTTCAGACATCTAAATCTGCTAAGTTATTTTAGAATGTTGTTCTCGTGGTGGGAATTTCCTTTTTTTTTTTCAGGTCTATGATAGAACTTAGAGGACTGTTAGGTATTCTTGAAATGATTTAATTTACAAGAACACTTGTTTGACTTGAGTAGATGGAGATGAAGCGAAATCTGGTAAAGGTGGACTGATATTATTGTATGAGAAAATACGAAAAACTATTTGTGCCTTACCGAAAGACAAGAAGAATTACGTTACAGTCATGATAGATGATATGTCTCTCATGGAGGTGGCTGCTAATGGTGCTTCAGATTACGTCTTAGATTTCTTGCATTACTGCCACACTTTAACATCAGAATTTGTAAGAGAAAGCTTCAACCTCTTACTTTGTGTCTACACTTTCTATCAAGCAATGCTTACTTCTTGCTGCTTACTTACATCACAGGATTGTTCATTAGTTGCACTTAATCATGAGGATATATATTCAAGCATCGAGAGGCCTATGTTTATATTACAAATGGAGTACCTTGCAGACATCCTGATAAAAACAGAGCCTTTGGCTACTGGCTTGGCAGCTGATGTGCATGGGCAGGTATGGTTGTATGTGTGTATGAGTTTATTATCAATGGGCTTATTCTGTCATTAATTTGAGTTCACTGCTTAATAAAGTCTGTGAAACGGTTGACTCAACAAATTTCATTATGTATCATGTGAATTCTAACTTTTACTGGAGTTTTTGTTTTCTTAGTTCTCTGGTTCTGTGATTGCCAATTAAGTGAGAAAGCTAATATTTTAAAATCAGCAATAATTTGATCTTTAATGTCAACTCACTATGGCATGCATATTGTACAAACTGAAGTCAGAATTGGTCTGAATGTTAATTATATCTGGTACTTGTTGGTTGTAATGTAATTGTTATGGTTGTTTACTGTCCATGTCTCAAGGCCTGAACAGATGCTACCCCAGCAAACTTCAATATACTAGTTTATATGTCTCTAATATGTTAATGGGCATTGGTTTACATGTCGTTTCCATGAAGGCTAACATAAATATGCTACCCTTCTTTTAGTTGTGGTGTTATGCAAAATTCATCTAAAATCCAATCTTCGCACTGATTAGAATACTAGAACTTTAGTTCTGGAAAACTGGAACCTATTGTTCTACAGCTAAAGGTTACAATGAGCATGTGCTTTTTTACCTGTTCAATTAAATCATTGGAATATCAACAAGCCAAAATGATTTTTAGCCGCTGGAATTGTCACATTTTCGAGTTTTAAATCTGTTAGACTGAATTTTGCCATCTATTGAACATTATACAGTAGAGCTTCTGTTAGATACTTGGATAAATTAAAACTTAATGAAAGAATACATGCTGTTATTGAGTTTGACGAGGCTAGTGATTTCTCAAAAAATATTTCGTCTTCATCCGCATTTTTTTTTCTTGCCCATATTTTCTCACAATAATTCTCTGTTGCAGTTGACGATCTTGAACAAGGGAATTTCCGATTCCCTGGAGAGCTCAAGGAACAAGATACACAATTTCCACTTCAAGGTCAAGGAAAATGGTGTTGACTATTTCTATCCTGGGAGCCGGGCTTGAGAAACCTGCAACTTTATTTTTATCGAAAATTGAATTGCTACCCTGACATACTTGGATGTAGTTTTACGGTTTGCCAGAAGAAGGCTTTATGTTATTTTATGTGGAAAAGCTTGTATCTTATATTGATGATCATGGAAGAAAAAAAAAATTCCTTCAGAAAAAAACCATCTTTATGGCTCCTCAATGGATTGTTTGTTCAGCTTATTTTTAGATCAAAGGATTTTGAGACAATATGAAATAGGGGTGGAAAAAACTGGTTAACCGGTATCTTGAACCGAACCGGTTTAAAAAAAATTGAACCGAAACCGGTTTGGTTATAAACCGGTTTATAATTGAACCGAAAATTCGAATTTGACCGGTTTTAAACTGATTAATTATGATGGCTGCATTTGTTCTGCCCAATTCGGTCAAACCCTCCGCTTTGACCCATTTTTTTTCCTAGGTTTTTTTTAACTTGAATTAAAGTTATATTTATTGTAATTGAATAATTTGAATTCATATAATTTTAATGTACATCAAGTATTAATAATTTAAAATTACAAATCAAAGATAGCCTGACAAATTTTTTTAAAAAACCGAAAATGCGCATTAGTGAAGACCTAGGGGTAAATTTTTTAAAAATTGAAAAATATAAAATTATTTTTTTATTCATTAAACCGGTTTAAAATTCTGGTTCGGTTAACCATTTTTGTTATTTCAAAAAACCGAAACGAACCGAATATTCGATTTACAAAATATGGCAAACCGAACCGAAACCAGAAAAAAATCGAATTTTTGGACCGGTTTCGATCTGGTTTTTCGATTCGGCACGGTTTTTGATTTTTTTTTTCCACCCATAATATGAAATGTGGGATTATCCTTGTAAATTTTGTGGTTTAATCATACGATCTTTAATTATTTTATTGTCTCCTTCAAGGTTTATTAGATTTATTGATTTAATATAATATTTAGGGATTGTGGGTGTTGATCCTCAAAGTTGCTTGTGATTCAATCTCCGTACCAAACAATGTGTTTATCATCCAACTGGGTTATCCTACACTATAGAGGATCGATAAAAGTTTACACGATTTTCTCTTCATAAAGGCCAGAAAAGCTCAAAAGACATCATTCTTTAATGATGCTAGATAGAACCACCATTGGGTGGTTTGATGCTAAAAGAGCAAAAGAGGATTTAAGTTTAAATGGTCTCCTGAGTTCAAGTCTCCACAACTGCTAATAGGGATGATCACTAAAACTTTTATTCGGTCGGTAATTCCAGGGTTCCAGGAGATTAGTTGAGTTGGTTCGGACACTCCTAGTAAAAAAAAAAAAGTAACAAAGCAAATCACTTATTTGCTAATTTAGTTGTAACTGGGTTTTGAATATTTCTTTATCTGACTTTGTATAAGTTGTTTCTATTATTACCTACAATTTAGGAGTTAGTTTCGGTTATTTAGTTTACACGTTTAAACACCTTTGTATTCTACAAATACTCAATTATATCAATAGAACAAATATATAATTGTTTCTCCCAATCTGCTTCTCCTGCTATGGTATCAAAGCTTTAAGATTTTTTTTTTTTCTCTTCTCTTTTAACCTGTCACTATGGCAACCGAGACTACCAACAACTCCTCTATTACAACAATTTCCAATACCAATGATCCACGCAATACTCTGATCAACATTAACATTGCAGCTCAAGCCCTTCTCAAACTCACCACTAAGAACTATATCTCCTAGAAACAACAATTTCAGACGCTCTTCATCAAATATGACCTCCTTGGGTATGTTGACGGATCAAAAGCATGCCCAACTACAACTATCACTCAGAATGAAGCTGTCATACAAAATCCAGCCCACATAATATGGATTCAGCAGGATCAACTCATACTTAATGCAATAGTTGGTTCCCTTTCTCCTACCCTTATTCCCTTCATTGCTCGAGCCATAACTTCAAGGCAAGCCTGGACTACATTAGCCAATACTTATGCCAAACCTTCTCGTGGACGAATCAAGCAAGTAAAAAGTCAACTCAAACATCTCACAAAGGGCTCACAAACTATTACCGGATTTCTACAAATAGTTAAAACTTGAGTTGATGAACTCATAATCCTTGTAGCACCACTTGATGATGAAGATCTAACCGAGACAATACTTGATAAATCATAAGTTGCATAAATTTAGTATTTTTAGGTTTGTTTTTATAGCCTTCTAGTTAATTTCTCATTTGTTTTCTATGTTTTGATGTTATTTGTTGTTAAGTTTGAAATATGAATGGTTAGCTACTGATTTGGAGAATTTTTATAATTTTTAGGCGTTAATTGAGTAGACTGGAGCATTGGAATGAAATTGGAATTCAAAGCTTGAAGAAATTGAGATTAGCTGACAAGTTTGAAGGCCATGGCCTTGCCTTGGTGGTTCACCACGGCCGTGGTGGTTGAATGAAGATAAAATAACGAGGATAGGAAACACCATGGCCTAGGTTGTGGTGACGTACATTCGGACACGGCCAGGGCCATGTCGAACACTTTTAGGGTTTTTTTAGTTTTTCTTTCCTTTTTCACTTAGGACTCTTTTGGGTATTTAAGGGTGATTAAGATTACTCCTTAAGGGGGCCGAATTTTAACCATTCTTGGAGAGAGATTATTGGGTAACAAAAGAGAAAGGAGAATCAAGAACAAAATTCATCACAAAGTTTGTTTTTACTTTTTCAATATGATTTATTTCTTGGATTCTACTCTTACTTCTTTTATTATAAAATAATTTTCTCAAGCTAAGACTAGGGTTAGTCTATCTATGGATATGTGATCAATCTTTTACTCTTTGGTTAGTGAATTATTTTTCTAATGATGAGTTTATATTATGTGCTTAATGCTATTAGGAACTTGATCAATTTCTAATAGAATTGTTTTGTGTGATTGAGATCGAGAGGAGATATCACATGAGTGCTCTAGTAATATAGGCCATGGATTAATTGGATATAGAGATATATGAATTGATACATGCAATAGTCATAGGCAGGATTAACTTGTGCTGAAAGCTAGAGGATTTCATAAAGCTTAATGCTCGTCTATTTCATTAAATCTATATAGAAATATCTAGGTTGTGAGATAGAAGTAGAATTAATATTGCTTGAGAAAGAATATCGATTAACCTAGGAAATCTCGTTGTCACATTAATTAAATAAATTCATTGACCATAGTAAATTGAGGGGTGCAGAGAAGTTATAGATGAGCCTGAAGTCTTAGCCGTTTTCTCTCATTGAATTCTTGATTTTAGTTTCACTGCAATTCGTTTATAATATTTCAGATTTTAATATTTTCAGTTTTAAAGATCACCATTCTAAGTTTTGATTATCTAGATAAAGTTAAGACTAATTAATATGTCAGTACTTGTTTACGCAATCCCTTGGGTATGATAACCTGTATTTTGTTACACTATATTACTTGAGACTAGTGCACTTGCTAGTAGTTGTTGCAAAATGACACAACAAGTTTTTGGCGCCGTTGCCGGGGATTGCAGTTAGGCAGTATTGAAATCATTAGTTTAGCTTTACTTTAGATCTTGTTCCATTTTTTTTTTATATATATATATAATTTTTTTTTTTTTTCAAGTTCTCTTGTTTTCAGATTTTCCAGTGTATGACACACACACTAGATGAAGATTAGAGATTCTTGAACCTTTTGATCCAGAAATTGAGAGAACAATACGAGCATTGAGAAGAAGGCAAGCAAGGAATATGACAGATAACAATAATAATAATCAAGTGGATCCTCTACTTTTGGAGAATCTCGAAGAAGATGCAGCCCCACATTCTTTAATGGATTATGGAATGCCGTCATTGAGTGGCACTGCTTCTAGCATTAGGAGGCCAGCCATTGCAACAAATAACTTTGAAATTAAATCTACGATTATTAAGATGATTCAGTCAGCCTGCCAATTCAGTGTTTGCTCAGCTAGGCTTCCAATTAAGGGCAAAAGTCTAACTTTTATACAAAAAATTTACGAAAAAGCTCCATACACCTTGGGGTGGTGAAGCAGAAGGGAAAGGTAACCCTCGGGGGAGAGGTACGTCTCGTGCAATCTAATATATTGTATCAATGGTTTAGCCCACGAGGATCCAAATGCTCACATTGGAAATTTCTTGGAGATATGTGATACATTCAAGCAGAATGGTGTCACAGACGATGCAATTAGATTGAGATTGTTCCCTTTTTCATTAAGAGATAAAGCCAAGAATTGGTTAAATTCTTTGCCTGCAGAATCTATTACAACTTGGGATGCATTGGCCCAACACTTTCTAGCTAAATATTTTCCTCCCTCTAAAACTGCAAGGATGCGTAATGATATCACTAATTTTATGCAGGTCGCTGGCGAGTCGTTATATGAAGTATGGGAGCTTTACAGAGAGTTGTTGAGGAAATGCCCGCATCATGGATTACCAATTTGGTTACAAGTACAAATTTTTTATAATGGTTTAATTCCTGCTAATCGTTCTGTGATTGATGCAGCTTCAGGAGGCACTATAATGAAGAAGGCACCAGAAGCAGCGTATGAATTATTAGGTGAGATGGCTTCAAACAGCTACCAATGGCAGTATGATAAAGTGCCACAAAGGAAGGTAGAAGGATTATATGGAGTGGATGCAATCACAACAATTTCTGCTCAATTGGAAGCATTGAACAAAAAGATTGATAATATGAGTGCCCTAATCATGCAAGTGAAGAGCATGAGTTATGATCTATGTGGAGGAGACCATCTTAGCAATGAATGTCAAGTATGTAACCCTTTTGCTAATTCTACTGAAAGTGCTAATTATGTTGGTAATTTTCACAGGCAACAACAGGATAATCCTTACTCCAGTACTTACAACCTTGGTTGGCGGAATCACCCCAATTTTTCATGGAGCAATCAAAATGCAGTGAAACCACCACCTCCGGGTTTTCCTCAAGAAAAGAAGCATTGGAGGAACTAGTGACGAAGTTTGTAAGCTCCACTGAAGCAAGATTTCAAAATCAAGAAGCTTCGATCATAAATTTGGAGACTCAGATGGCGTAGTTGGAAAATTTAATATCAGGGAGA